TTTCCAGTTACTTTTTAGTGACCATATTTCACGCAACTCTAATCGTTGATGGAAAAAGTTATGTTTGAAGAAGAAGAAAACGAAGAAGAAGAAGAAGAAGAAAAAGAAGAAGACGAAGAAGAAGACGAAGACGAAGAAGAAGAAGAAGAAGAAGAAGAAGAAGAAGAAGAAGAAGAAGAAGAAGAAGAAGAAGAAGAAGAAGAAGAAGAAGAAGAAGAAGAAGAAGAAGAAGAAGAAGAAGAAGAAGAAGAAGAAGAAGAAGAAGAAGAAGAAGAAGAAGAAGAAGAAATAGGAGAGGAAGAAAAAGGAGAAAAGAAAAAGAACAGCAATAAAAAAAACAACAACAACAAAAAATAACAACAACCACAACAACATCTATTACTACTACAACAAAAAAAAACAACAAAAACAATAGCAACAATAAAAACTGCAGCAGCATCAGCAGCAACAAAAATAACAAACAAAACAGCAATAACTGAAAGAAAACATCAACAGCAAGAATTAGAAAAGGAAAACAGAAACGACTTTAAATTGTTGTCAGGACGTTCGATTCTACAGACGGTCATTGACCTTTGAGACATACTCTTTTCCCATCAAGCAGCTAAAACTGACGAATGGGAAAAGGGGATCCCAATACGATTACCGCAAGCGTTAACAGAAACTAGGTCAGGGAAACCCCCATTCAACTGCGGTGACGGCTTTATCGCCTTGCCTGGCGTCGTAAAAAAAAACCCAAAGCACTTAAGGTTCAAACAAGACTGCCGTTGTCGTGGGGAATACCTTCCTAATTGTAGTTCCAAAATATAACTGCAAACGGTGATTACTATAAAAGGTTCTTAAAAGCTATGCCAATATCATTTATTGAATACCATAGCCTGCAAAGCACTGTTCAAGACATTAAATTGAATTTTGACTTTAGGAACAGAAATCCAGTATAAAATTTCATATATTTTGTGTCGTTGCTACAAGAGTTGGATAAACAATGCTTTCGGGTAAAGGAAAACCTATAATAGCAATTCTTAACCACAGACGCCTTGAGTCTAGATTTTCTTACCACTTTAACCAGTACTTGTTTAAATAACAATACAAAAGATATATCCACTATAATTTTATCGATTGTCAAAGGACACATTAATTAATCGTGGTTAATTCTTTTACGTGATTGAATTCTCCGTAACAGAAAAATCTTATCTAGAATCGAGCATTAAAATAGTTGCTCACCGAACTGACGAAAAATGATCTTAAGAAATGTGTCAAAAATTTTCATTTTACTTTTTTTTAATGATGTCCGCGTTTTAAATGTTTACCACTTTAAAAAATTACAAAATGAGCAGATCGTCACAGTCAAATATTGTTATGTTTTTATGAAGAGAACTTTCAAAAAGAGAAAGAGAAAGAAATAACTTATTCAAATGACTGTCACACTTAAATATGGTTACATTTCCGAACTTTTCAAGTTATTTCAGTTATTTCTCAAATAACAAATGAAGACTTGTATTTCTAACTTGTTGAAATCATCGTGTCTTTCCAGTCTCCACAAAGTACGTCTCATTAGCCATCCTGGCTATCTTCAGCGTAGTTGGGACCGCTCTGGCAAGTCCAGTGTCACAACCAACGATCGACAACCCTTGTAGGATAACAAGCTCTGCTCCTCCCGAGTATCTGCCCTTGCAAGAAGAGATTGCTCTCACATTGAACGTGTTAGAGACTTTGAGATCAAGCTGTGAGGATGGTGTCACTACTATGGTAAGTGTTCTTTATAATCTTTTTATATTGATGTTTCACCTTTGTGTATGCCTAGCAAGATTACAGGGTAAAAAAAGACGTTTTGATTATTTAAAACCACATTGTGAGATATGCATGATTCAAGGAAGATAAAAATCTATGCATTTTACTTTTAGCAACAATATGTTGACAATCCTATCGTTTCTATTTTTTACCCATACATGCATCGCAACCGTATGATACACAGGGGACAAACATTGTGCCCGTTAAAACCTAGTAAAGCACCAACGATAACCAAAACGCACAAGATGACTGTTTTTTACAATTGGGTGGGTGTTTGAAGCCTTCAAAGAGGTCTGAAAATAATGTTAATTTGTTTCTTTTTTCTTTTCCCAGACTACTGAAAATCTGCTGACCAGTGATGAAATCGACATGCTAATGGATAACCCAATGTACAATCTTCCTGGCCTACCCTTGGCCACAGCTACAAGAAACGTCAGTGAAGAAAATGTAAGCCCCTCTTTTAAAAATATTTTATCCTTGAACGTTTTGAAAGCATTAAATCTGACCTGAGTTTAATTAAACATTCCGTGTAACATTAGTCTTCTTAGAGAAATATGCATTTTTAAAAGTCAAAAGGCTGGCTGTTCCCAATTACAATACTCTGTCTTAACAATGTGTCTCTCTCTCTCTTTCTCTCTGTCTCTCTGTCTCTCTGTCTCTCTGTCTCTCTCTCTCTCTCTCTCTCTCTCTCTCTCTCTCTCTCTCTCTCTCTCTCTTCTCTCTCACTTTATCTCTCTGTCTCTTTGTCTTTCCCTAACTCTTACAACAACAATCTACTGTTTGTTACAAAACCCATCCTTCAATATTCAATTTGATCTGTTTAAACAGCAAGAAAGATACAACAGTAATCGTTTCATGTTCTTCTCTGTGCAGGTTTTCCTTTACAATCTTGATCAAAGTGCTCTGAATGTTACTTTGACCATTAAACTTTTAAAGACATTTACAACAAGTTTGTCAAACACATTTACTCAACTGGCCAAAAATCTGGCTATTGTTGATGAAAAGTTGCTTGAAGTAAGTTGTCGACTGGACTCTGTCATCTCAGTGGCTGAAGAAGGGTTGACGCAGAGTCAGCGAGAAACAGCCAGAGAACTCTATCATGCTATCCTGGCTACATACGCCACATTTGAAAACAAGATAGACTTTAGCCCAATTTCAGACCAGAAAGAACTAACGAGATACATTTACCGTGGTCTCAGTTCTCTGGGGGGATTCACGGCACTTTGGAAAGATGCTCTAGAGCTTGGAACAAACATTGGGCAATAGGTAAAAAGAAAGTTACTATAAAGATTTTCACGTTCACCAACATTGCACAAAGGCATGACCAGATTGCACAATTTTACTGCCTGTGCCAGTTGCTTGGTGGTGGACAGTTCCAATTAACCCGTCTAAGGCCATGGTATATAACTCATGTTTATTGTTACATGTACGGAATATGTTGACAATCCTAGTTTGGGCAGTAAGTAGTTGATTAGGCTTCCCCTGAAAAGTGTCTCTGTTTTCTAAAAGCTTTCCTCCTTGGGCATTGCAGAATATTCCCTTAAAAACAACATATAGAGGCCCTCATTTTTTATTTCAAATGTGCTTTTATACTCCCACTCTACACGAGGTAAGCTAGCACGGCGTTGGGACCCGCTTTTTATTTGAAAATCACTGTGCTCCTTTTTACACTGCACTGAACGAGAAGGCATAAGACCACACGATTATCTTTAAAAACGATGCTCTTCTGTTATTTATTCTTATAATGCATCACTTCATGCATGAGCAAACATTTTACAGGCAGCCAAAAACAAAGATTCTTTGAAATCTCTTTTTAAACTAGATGTGTATGACACAATGTATTTTTGAATGCCCACTTGTACATCCATATAAAGCATCACAAAAAGTACTCATAAAAACTATTCCTAGTGCTTTAAAACTCCCCGCTGGACACTGAGTCTGGTAACATGGTGTTGGTGCCCTTTTCCCTTACCGTCTTTTTCACCTTCTTTCAATTTTGTTCCACACTCAAGTAAATTACACGAAAGAGCATAGAATGAAACTTTCATCTTATATCAAGATTTCTTGGAATTTCTACTGATCCATTTAATGCACCAGCTAATCAGGAAAGTTTGGAGAACTCTTTTGACAACTAAATTTGTACACTGTCAAGTAATGTGGGATGCACACCTATTCATGTATAGTGATTACAGTCATGTTACCTCTCATTCAAACTGTTCTATATTGTAAATATACGTACTTAAGAATATGCAATACTGGCCATTCTTGATGCTTATGAGATATTTTAGATGTTAAGAAATGACTATAATAAGAGAAAACGTAAAGTAACATACATAAATTTTACGTCGTGTAGATGTGAAGGAAAACATTTTCAGTCTCAGTCCGAGAAGCACTATAAAGTACGAGACGAATAGAAAGAACAAAGCAGTGAATTGTATCACGTGCAGTTGTCTAGTTACAGGATTCTGCTGAGACAAACACTCGCTTAGAATTTAATTTTGTTCACGATATTCGTTTGTTCTATTCTCAGATGGCAAGCATATTACTCGAGGACTACCACGATGTGTCGGTGTTTACAGTTTTCGCCCAACAAGTCTACGAGGAGGAAGACGGAAATGAAGTCCTGAAAGCTGACCTCCTGAAAGTCAAACATTACTTCTATTCCACTTTGTGCAAGCTGGACACAATCTTGGGTTCGATCAACAGTCCTGTCTCAAATTTTGCTAGTTCTGATGTGATGCCAGACTCGTTGAAAAATATCACATCAGATAAGTACAGATACATACGGGCATTCTTGTTGTTAAATAGTGCCATGAAACACATTGAAGTTCTTCATAAAGATTATGAAAAATTGCCACAAAATGTCTCCTCTGCTTAAAATGCTTTAGACATAGCACGAAAGAAACATCAATGATCATTTTAAGATAAATACCTCTGGAGACCCACCGATGACCGAAATCTTTCTATCTATTTGTCGGTACTATCATAGATTGTAGTAGTATGTATGTCTCACTTTCCAAGATCTGAATTTTAATCTAAGTTTTAAAAAGTCTCCAAATATTTTTTATGTCTTTTTATTTGAGCAGTGTCTATATGTACATAGTTTATGTCCTTACAAAAGTGAATGTCTAATAAGTTTTAGAATTTTTACGGGTAAAGACAGGGGCTTTTAATAGTGATAGACAGTCATGTAATATATTTATGTTTAATATTTCTTTGTCTGATCTAATGGTATTCACAACAAATGTACGAGTATTGTATTGTTTTTAAATTATATATGAAGTGAAACCTGCCTTTTTCCGTTTGTTGTAACCTGGTTGCTGGAACACTAATCTTTAATGTACCTATCTTCTCTTTTTCATCATTTTAGTTTACTTCCTGGATTAAAACATACATAGTAAAGCATAACATAACCCGTGAAGAGTGGAGTTAATTTTTAGTTAAGAGACAGATTTTAAAGATCCAAGCTAAAGGCATCCCCGACACCCTAATTCTCGTTACGTTTTAAATGTTATCAGTATACAAACCCTAAACACAAGGACTAGAACATTATACAAATTCAGAAGACAAATCCTTTAGAAAATTCCTCAAACAGTGAAATTCCACAATTCAGGTACTCACATTTTCTTCTTGTACATTTGAATGACACATCGAGTTGTAACATGTTATGAGCATATGAATAATTTATTGTATGATATGATACTTTACTGTACACAAATGTTGATTGTTTTGAGTATGTAATTTTGTTGTTTCTATGCCTGTTAACTCTGATCTTGCTCCGATCTTTATTTTTAAAGGGTCGGTTGCGATCAAAAGGTATGAGTTCCCAACTCAATCTGTATACAAGTCAAGCTATATTAGCTGCTAATCAAAATGGTTATTTGTTTTTAAAGATTGTCCAGTGATTCTTTCCTGCCTTTTTGTGAAGGATTGCGGAAATTTTTAGCTTTTTCATTTTTACTGTACGTTTAATTTTTTGTTTTAGTTTTTTTTTAAACAGTACACATTTGTATATTACACATGCCAATTGTGAATTTCTCAATTTATCTTAAATAAAAACGTGTACATATTGCAATTAATTCATGCTATAGTGCTTTGTTGAAACTAAATTGTATCTGTATGTTTTCCATGTCAATTGCAAATACCAATGAAATAGTCATGCCAAACCATTAAAGGCCAATAAAAGTAATTTAGATTTTCAACTGATGTCTTTTCAACTATTTATAAAATATAGTTTTTTTATTATTCGAACTGTACACCAACGACAGTTGTATAGAGGTTAAATGATTCTCCCTCTGATGCAAGAGACCTGAAATCGATACTCCTGTTAAAAGAATCTTTATTTTCTTTTTTTTTCTGGGTGGGGGGGACTCGGGAGTGGGCTCTGATGAGATATAATATAGATCCCAACCAGGGTTGGACCTTTCTCTGGCAGGATCATTGCACGCCTTCTAAATTATCAGAAAGCAACAAGACAGGTGATTTTTCAAGGTGTCGCAGTACCATCTGAAAAAGTCATTCTTTGCCTCATATTTTGTTATCAAAATCGTCGGAGCAGTTCTTCTGAACTTAAACAGACTCTTGAAGTCCCCATTCCTAATTAAGATTTCGAAACAGTGCCATAAAGATAGACGGTGGGCACTCAAGGGCTAGAGAATACGGTTTTCGCCTTTCATTCTAAAGGTCCCGGGTACGAAACCTGACAGTATAGGAAAATGTTCTCCAATATAATGTTCTGCTTTCAGTTTCTTTCCCGCTCTCAATGTTTTGCCCCACTCCACTTTGCCCCCTTCTCTTGGCACCGGACTCTTTCTGTAGCCTTCCTACTGTTACTTCTTGGCTCTTTCCAACTGCTGTCTTTCAGCCACAACCGTGTTCTTATGGCAGATGCGATCTAACACCTAGCTTTTTAGGATAAGGTGGAAAAAATGTCGGAGGTCCCTTGCGCAACTTGGCTCGTTAAAGATCCCTTGGTGATGGTCTTAAAATCTATTAGACTACCAACTTCAACACGTCAAATGTGTCCCGCACGCTCATATGACCTTATGCAGTTGTGGGCGCCGTAAAACACTTACAAGGAAAAGAATAAAGAACGAAAGATCATCGTCATAGAAACACGCAACATACAATGCTGCTTATTTGCTATTTTTAAGACCTGTAGACTCCATCTAGTGGAAGAAAGAGACATACTATGGTTGACACTCTTGTTTATACTGTTTGGAAGAAGTACCACGAAATATCTACATAATATGTGTGCGTTATGGAGAAAAGGGTGCAATTTTTTTTACCTTTTTGTAGTTTATTTCACTTCTGCATTGAAATAACCGCTCGTGATGACTGTTTTCATTAAAAGAAAAAATTGTAGACTGCTGTTTGTTTGTTTTTATTTATAACTCGGTCATGTATGTAGTGAAGTAGTGAAGGGTGCATCAATAATATTTTGTGGAAAAAAACCCGTTAAAGTCTCATGTGCATTTAACCACAAGACAAAGCATCAATTCTGGCACTAGTAGCCATGACACTACCAAGAAAAGTAAAATTCTCCCGGAATACGCATGTTTGTGTCTGGATAAACGACGTTTGTTGAGCTTTAAGCGGGTCGGTGGAGGAATTCAATATTAATCTTGTGCTGCTTATAAGCCGCAAATTTTCACAACAGTTAGAAGAACCCACCCATTTTTGCATGCTGGTCTCGTTATGTTACAACAGAGCACAGTCATCAGCAAACAGATGGTCTCTATAGATTGATGCAAGAGACGTCAATACACAGGGACTTCATATACACCGTCTGCTCCAGGTTCCGGACTGAGAGTTCAACGAGTCAGCATTCATGTCACCCGTGAACCGAACGACAAGTTATCTCGCAGTCTATGGATCTTACTTCATTCAGCACTGGTGTCAACAGTACGAAAAGCTACACATATCTATCTCTGTCCTTGAATGAGATAGATAGATAGATATATCGATGTTTTGATTTGATCTGTGCAATTGTCTTTCTTTTATCTGGCAGCTCATTCTATATCCGCTCTCTCTCCACTAAAGGGATGTATATTGTTTGGAGACTTTCATACAATTTCCGGGTATTCCTTGTGTCGTTGTGTTTGTGAGTTTCACATGTTATTTTACCCAACTCACGCTAAAACTTTCTTCTGCATGTCTCAAAAGCGTTTTACTTTGGTTGAAACGAAGGTCATAGAAGTGTCCTTGGAAGACTCGACTCTCCACTTGGATGTTCTGTTTGATTTCAACAATATTTTCTTTGAATCAATCCTGATAGTAATAATCTTTACCAATTATTGTACAGCACGCACAGCCGTCAGAAAAGACTGACCACGCAAAGCCTTTAAACACTTTTGTTGGTGAAAAATGGACTCACTGTACTTAAACGGTACTCACCAGGTGAACTTTGCCTTTTTTTCTGTCGTACACTTGGCATCCTATGTAGTGGTATACTCCAGACTACAGAACCTGTTTGATATTTTGAGGAAGACCAGAAGTAAGATGGCAAGAAGACAGCAAAGAACAGAGGTGTACAACCAGGACACGCAAAACAACAGACAAAACAGAGGGGGGAACGTTATTAGTGGGCTGCTTCATGCAGTGGAAGGACAAAACACACATAAAAAAGACATTGCCATGAACTGTTTTCTTTAGCCTTAAGAATAACCTGTTGTGCTATCTTTCCGTTCCAATAGTATCTAAAAGCACTATAAGACTATTTTCTAGATTCAACAACTGTATCATTTGTCTTATTCACGTTAAGACCTGGACTTTTTACTATGTTTCTATAATTGTTTCACTGTTTATGATAAAGAAGTTTGCCGATATACCACTGCCATGCCTAACTAAGATTGCAATCTGTTATTTCATATTCACAGTAATTTGCCTTGATTTTTACACCTAATTGAGATCCCAGTAACGATTCCTGATAGTATTTTCTATCTGTGTCTAGATCTGTAATAGTCGTCTCTACCTAAGTCAAAAGTGGTTAAACTATAAAAAAAAAAATAAACCACACAAAAACACAGAGAGAGAGAGAGAGAGAGAGAGAGAGAGAGAGAGAGAGAGAGAGAGAGACTCATACACACAAGCACACACACACATACACACACCCACACACACACATACACACACACACACACACAAACACACACACACACACACACACACACACACACACACACACAAACCCCGCTCTCACACCCCCACACACACTGCTAATCGCTCCAATACCGCATGCAAGAGACCTGAGTTCTATCCCAAATGGGGAGGAAATTTCTTTTAAACCAGAATCTCAATCTTTCGGCTATGATGTTATATCCCTCTCAAATCAGGTTGGTCCCGACAGGCAGGGTCGGTAGCCCGCCTCCTAAATAATCTAATTTGGGACTACTATGGAGTAAAAAGCCTATATTATCATTATTATTAATAGTATCATTATTATTTTTTAAATTATTATTATTGTTATTATTATTAATATTAATATTCTTCTTCTTCTTCTTCTTCTTCTTCTTCTTCTTCTTCTTCTTCTTCTTCTTCTTCTTCTTCTTCTTCTTCTTCTTCTTCTTCTTCTTCTTCTTCTTCTTCTTCTTCTTCTTTATTATTATTATTATTATTATTATTATTATTATTATTATTATTATTATTATTATTATTATTATTATTATTATTATTATTATTATTGTATTATTTGTATTATTATAATATTATATTATTATTATTATTATTAGTGTTATTATTATTATCATTAATTATTATCATTATTATTATTATTATTATTATTATTATTATTATTAATATTATTGTTATCGTAGGTAAGCATAACACTAGGAAATAGTTTTCTCTGTAATTTCAAGGGCCGTTACATTTTTCTAATTCTTTAATTTTACGTAATTTTTACTAGAACTATTTTCCAAGTTACTTTTTAGTGATCATATTTCACGCAACTCTAATCGTTGATGGAAAAAGTTATGTTTGAAGAAGAAGAAAACGAAGAAGAAGAAGAAGAAGAAAAAGAAGAAGACAAAGAAGAAGACGAAGACGAAGAAGAAGAAGAAGAAGAAGAAGAAGAAGAAGAAGAAGAAGAAGAAGAAGAAGAAGAAGAAGAAGAAGAAGAAGAAGAAGAAGAAGAAGAAGAAGAAGAAGAAGAAGAAGAAGAAGAAGAAGAAGAAGAAGAAGAAGAAGAAGAAGAAGAAGAAATAGGAGAGGAAGAAAAAGGAGAAAAGAAAAAGAACAGCAATAAAAAAAACAACAACAACAAAAAATAACAACAACCACAACAACATCTATTACTACTACAACAAAAAAAACAACAAAAACAATAGCAACAATAAAAACTGCAGCAGCATCAGCAGCAACAAAAATAACAAACAAAACAGCAATAACTGAAAGAAAACATCAACAGCAAGAATTAGAAAAGGAAAACAGAAACGACTTTAAATTGTTGTCAGGACGTTCGATTCTACAGACGGTCATGGACTTATACCTTTGAGACATACTCGTTTCCCATCAAGCAGCTAAAACTGAAGAATGGGAGAAGGGGATCCCAATACGATTACCGCAAGCGTTAACAGAAACTAGGTCAGGGAAACCCCCATTCAACTGCGGTCGCGGCTTTATCGCCTTGCCTGGCGTCGTAAAAAAAAACCCCCACAGCACTTAAGGTTCAGACAAAACTGCCGTTGTCGTTGGGAATACCTTCCTAACTGTAGTTCCAAAATATAACTGCAAACGGTGATTACTATAAAAGGTTCTTAAAAGCTATGCCAATATCATTTATTGAATACCATAGCCTGCAAAGCACTGTTCTAGACATTGAACTGAATTTTGACTTTAGGAACAGAAATCCAGTATAAAATTTCATATATTTTGTGTCGTTGCTACAAGAGTTGGATAAACAATGTTTTCGGGTAAAGGAAAACCTATAATAGCAATTCTTAACCACAGACGCCTTGAGTCTAGATTTTCTTACCACTTTAACCAGTACTTGTTTAAATAAAAATACAAAAGATATATCTACTATAATTTTATCGAGTGTCAAAGGACACATTAATTAATCGTGGTTAATTATTTTACGTGATAGAATTCTCCGTAACAAAAAAATCTTATCTAGAATCGAGCATTAAAATAGTTACTCACCGAACTGACGAAAAATGATCTTAAGAAATGTGTCAAAAATTTTCATTTTACTTTTTTTTAATGATGTCCGTGTTTTAAATGTTTACCACTTTAAAAAATTACAAAATGTGCAGATCGCCACAGTCAAATATTGTTATGTTTTTATGAAGAGAACTTTCGAAAAGAGAAAGAGAAAGAAATAACTTATTCAAGTGACTGTCACACTTAAATATGGTTACATTTCCGAACTTTTCAAGTTATTTCAGTTATTTCTCAAATAACAAATGAAGACTTGTATTTCTAACATGTTGAAATCATCGTGTCTTTCCAGTCTCCACAAAGTACGTCTCATTAGCCATCCTGGCTATCTTCAGCGTAGTTGGGACCGCTCTGGCAAGTCCAGTGTCACAACCAACGATCGACAACCCTTGTAGGATAACAAGCTCTGCTCCTCCCGAGTATCTGCCCTTGCAAGAAGAGATTGCTCTCACATTGAACGTGTTAGAGACTTTGAGATCAAGCTGTGAGGATGGTGTCACTACTATGGTAAGTGTTCTTTATAATCTTTTTATATTGATGTTTCACCTTTGTGTATGCCTAGCAAGATTACAGGGTAAAAAAAGACGTTTTGATTATTAAAAACCACATTGTGAGATATGCATGATTCAAGGAAGATAAAAATCTATGCATTTTACTTTTAGCAACAATATGTTGACAATCCTATCGTTTCTATTTTTTGCCCATACATGCATCGCAGCCGTATGATACACAGGGGACAAAAATTGTGCCCCGTTAAAACCTAGTAAAGCACCAACGATAACCAAAACGTACAAAATGACTGTTTTTTACAATTGGGTGGGTGTTTGAAGCCTTCAAAGAGGTCTGAAAAAAATGTTAATTTGTTTCTTTTTCTTTTCCCAGAATACTGAAAATCTGCTGACCAGTGATGAAATCGACATGCTAATGAATAACCCAATGTACAATCTTCCTGGCCTACCCTTGGCCACAGCTACAAGAAACGTCAGTGAAGAAAAAGTAAGCCCCTCTTTTAAAAATATTTTATCTTTGAACGTTTTGAAAGCATTAAATCTGATCTGAGTTTAATTAAACATTCCGTGTAACATTAGTCTTCTTAGAGAAATATGCATTTTTAAAAGTCAAAAGGCTGGCTGTTCCCAATTACAATACTCTGTCTTAACAATGTGTATGAAAATCGTGCTGTAGATTATTTTCTTTTGGTTTATTATGATTTCATTTTAGAAAATCATACTCTTGCATTTCACAAAAAGTACTTCAGAACTGCAGAGACTAATCTTACACACGTACCCCTAAATATGTACATTTTTGGCATTTACGAACTTCCTTCACCCCCCAACTCCCGTCTCTCTTTCTCTCTCTCTCTCTCTCTCTCTCTCTCTCTCTCTCTCTCTCTCTCTCTCTTCTCTCTTTCTTTATCTCTCTGTCTCTTTGTCTTTCCCTAACTCTTACCACAACAATCTACTGTTTGTTGCAAAACTCATCCTTCAATATTCAATTTGATCTGTTTAAACAGCAAGAAAGATACAACAGTAATCGTTTCATGTTCTTCTTTGTGTAGGTTTTCCTTTACAATCTTGATCAAAGTGCTCTGAATGTTACTTTGACCATTAAACTTTTAAAGACATTTACAACAAGTTTATCAAAACACATTTACTCAACTGGCCAAAACTCTGGCTATTGTTGACGAAAAGTTCCTTGAAGTAAGTTGTCGACCTTCTTTCAATTTTGTTCCACACTCAAGTAAATTACATGAAAGAGCATAGAATGAAACTTTCATCTTATATCAAGATTTCTTGGAATTTCTACTGATCCATTTAATGCACCAGCTAATCAGGAAAGTTTGGAGAACTCTTTTGACAACTAAATTTGTACACTGTCAAGTAATGTGGGATGCACACCTATTCATGTATAGTGATTGCAGTCATGTTACCTCTCATTCAAACTGTTCTATATCGTAAATATACGTACTTAAGAATATGCAATACTGGCCATTCTTGATGCTTATGAGATATTTTAGATGTTAAGAAATGACTATAATAAGAGAAAGCGTAAAGTAACATACATAAAGTTTACGTCGTGTAGATGTGAAGGAAAACATTTTCAGTCTCAGTCCGAGAAGCACTATAAAGTACGAGACGAATAGAAAGAGCAAAGCAGTGAATTGTATCACGTGCAGTTGTCTAGTTACAGGATTCTGCTGAGACAAACACTCGCTAAGAATTTAATTTTGTTCACGATATTCGTTTGTTCTATTCTCAGATGGCAAGCATATTGCTCGAGGACTACCACGATGTGTCGGTGTTTACAGTTTTCGCCCAACAAGTCTACGAGGAGGAAGACGGAAACGAAGTCCTGAAAGCTGACCTCCTGAAAGTCAAACATTATTTCTATTCCACTCTGTGCAAGCTGGACACAATCTTGGGTTCGATCAACAGTCCTGTCTCAGATTTTGTTAGTTCTGATGTGATGCCAGACTCGTTGAAAAATATCACATCAGATAAGTACAGATACATGCGGGCAATCTTGTTGTTAAATAGTGCCATGAAACACATTGAAGTTCTTCATAAAGATTATGAAAAATTGCCACAAAATGTCTCCTCTGCTTAAAATGCTTTAGACATAGCACGAAAGAAACATCAATGATCATTTTAAGATAAATACCTCTGGAGACCCACCGATGACCGAAATCTTTCTATCTATTTGTCGGTATTATCATAGATTGTAGTAGTATGTATGTCTCACTTTCCAAGATCTGAATTTTAATCTAAGTTTTAAAAAGTCTCCAAATATTTTTTATGTCTTTTTATTTGAGCAGTGTCTATATGTACATAGTTTATGTCCTTACAAAAGTGAATGTCTAATAAGTTTTAGAATTTTTACGGGTAAAGACAGGGGCTTTTAATAATGATAGACAGTCATGTAATATATTTATGTTTAATATTTCTTTGTCTGATCTAATGGTAATCACAACAAATGTACGAGTATTGTATTGTTTTTAAATTATATATGAAGTGAAACCTGCCTTTTTCCGTTTGTTGTAACCTGGTTGCTGGAACACTAATCTTTAATGTACCTATCTTCTCTTTTTCATCATTTTAGTTTACTTCCTGGATTAAAACATACATAGTAAAGCATAACATAACCCGTGAAGAGTGGAGTTAATTTTTAGTTAAGAGACAGATTTTAAAGATCCAAGCTAAAGGCATCCCCGACACCCTAATTCTCGTTACGTTTTAAATGTTATCAGTATACAAACCCTAAACACAAGGACTAGAACATTATACAAATTCAGAAGACAAATCCTTTAGAAAATTCCTCAAACAGTGAAATTCCACAATTCAGGTACTCACATTTTCTTCTTGTACATTTGAATGACACATCGAGTTGTAACATGTTATGAGCATATGAATAATTTATTGTATGATATGATACTTTACTGTACACAAATGTTGATTGTTTTGAGTATGTAATTTTGTTGTTTCTATGCCTGTTAACTCTGATCTTGCTCCGATCTTTATTTTTAAAGGGTCGGTTGCGATCAAAAGGTATGAGTTCCCAACTCAATCTGTATACAAGTCAAGCTATATTAGCTGCTAATCAAAATGGTTATTTGTTTTTAAAGATTGTCCAGTGATTCTTTCCTGCCTTTTTGTGAAGGATTGCGGAAATTTTTAGCTTTTTCATTTTTACTGTACGTTTAATTTTTTGTTTTAGTTTTTTTTTAAACAGTACACATTTGTATATTACACATGCCAATTGTGAATTTCTCAATTTATCTTAAATAAAAACGTGTACATATTGCAATTAATTCATGCTATAGTGCTTTGTTGAAACTAAATTGTATCTGTATGTTTTCCATGTCAATTGCAAATACCAATGAAATAGTCATGCCAAACCATTAAAGGCCAATAAAAGTAATTTAGATTTTCAACTGATGTCTTTTCAACTATTTATAAAATATAGTTTTTTTATTATTCGAACTGTACACCAACGACAGTTGTATAGAGGTTAAATGATTCTCCCTCTGATGCAAGAGACCTGAAATCGATACTCCTGTTAAAAGAATCTTTATTTTCTTTTTTTTTCTGGGTGGGGGGGACTCGGGAGTGGGCTCTGATGAGATATAATATAGATCCCAACCAGGGTTGGACCTTTCTCTGGCAGGATCATTGCACGCCTTCTAAATTATCAGAAAGCAACAAGACAGGTGATTTTTCAAGGTGTCGCAGTACCATCTGAAAAAGTCATTCTTTGCCTCATATTTTGTTATCAAAATCGTCGGAGCAGTTCTTCTGAACTTAAACAGACTCTTGAAGTCCCCATTCCTAATTAAGATTTCGAAACAGTGCCATAAAGATAGACGGTGGGCACTCAAGGGCTAGAGAATACGGTTTTCGCCTTTCATTCTAAAGGTCCCGGGTACGAAACCTGACAGTATAGGAAAATGTTCTCCAATATAATGTTCTGCTTTCAGTTTCTTTCCCGCTCTCAATGTTTTGCCCCACTCCACTTTGCCCCCTTCTCTTGGCACCGGACTCTTTCTGTAGCCTTCCTACTGTTACTTCTTGGCTCTTTCCAACTGCTGTCTTTCAGCCACAACCGTGTTCTTATGGCAGATGCGATCTAACACCTAGCTTTTTAGGATAAGGTGGAAAAAATGTCGGAGGTCCCTTGCGCAACTTGGCTCGTTAAAGATCCCTTGGTGATGGTCTTAAAATCTATTCGACTACCAACTTCAACACGTCAAATGTGTCCCGCACGCTCATATGACCTTATGCAGTTGTGGGCGCCGTAAAACACTTACAAGGAAAAGAATAAAGAACGAAAGATCATCGTCATAGAAACACGCAACATACAATGCTGCTTATTTGCTATTTTTAAGACCTGTAGACTCCATCTAGTGGAAGAAAGAGACATACTATGGTTGACACTCTTGTTTATACTGTTTGGAAGAAGTACCACGAAATATCTACATAATATGTGTGCGTTATGGAGAAAAGGGTGCAATTTTTTTACCATTTTGGAGGTTATTTCACTTCTGCATTGAAATAACCGCTCGTGATGACTGTTTTCATTAAAAGAAAAAATTGTAGACTGCTGTTTGTTTGTTTTTATTTATAACTCGGTCATGTATGTAGTGAAGTAGTGAAGGGTGCATCAATAATATTTTGTGGAAAAAAAACCGTTAAAGTCTCATGTGCATTTAACCACAAGACAAAGCATCAATTCTGGCACTAGTAGCCATGACACTACCAAGAAAAGTAAAATTCTCCCGGAATACGCATGTTTGTGTCTGGAAGAACGACGTTTGTTGAGCTTTAAGCGGGTCGGTGGAGGAATTCAATATTAATTTTGTGCTGCTTATAAGCCGCAAATTTTCACAACAGTTAGAAGAACCCACCCATTTTTGCATGCTGGTCTCGTTATGTTACAACAGAGCACAGTCATCAGCAAACAGATGGTCTCTATAGATTGATGCAAGAGACGTCAATACACAGGGACTTCATATACACCGTCTGCTCCAGGTTCCGGACTGAGAGTTCAACGAGTCAGCATTCATGTCACCCGTGAACCGAACGACAAGTTATCTCGCAGTCTATGGATCTTACTTCATTCAGCACTGGTGTCAACAGTACGAAAAGCTACACATATCTATCTCTGTCCTTGAATGAGATAGATAGATAGATATATCGATGTTTTGATTTGATCTGTGCAATTGTCTTTCTTTTATCTGGCAGCTCATTCTATATCCGCTCTCTCTCCACTAAAGGGATGTATATTGTTTGGAGACTTTCATACAATTTCCGGGTATTCCTTGTGTCGTTGTGTTTGTGAGTTTCACATGTTATTTTACCCAACTCACGCTAAAACTTTCTTCTGCATGTCTCAAAAGCGTTTTACTTTGGTTGAAACGAAGGTCATAGAAGTGTCCTTGGAAGACTCGACTCTCCACTTGGATGTTCTGTTTGATTTCAACAATATTTTCTTTGAATCAATCCTGATAGTAATAATCTTTACCAATTATTGTACAGCACGCACAGCCGTCTGAAAAGACTGACCACGCAAAGCCTTTAAACACTTTTGTTGGTGAAAAATGGACTCACTGTACTTAAACGGTACTCACCAGGTGAACTTTGCCTTTTTTTCTGTCGTACACTTGGCATCCTATGTAGTGGTATACTCCAGACTACAGAACCTGTTTGATATTTTGAGGAAGACCAGAAGTAAGATGGCAAGAAGACAGCAAAGAACAGAGGTGTACAACCAGGACACGCAAAACAACAGACAAAACAGAGGGGGGAACGTTATTAGTGGGCTGCTTCATGCAGTGGAAGGACAAAACACACATAAAAAAGACATTGCCATGAACTGTTTTCTTTAGCCTTAAGAATAACCTGTTGTGCTATCTTTCCGTTCCAATAGTATCTAAAAGCACTATAAGACTATTTTCTAGATTCAACAACTGTATCATTTGTCTTATTCACGTTAAGACCTGGACTTTTTACTATGTTTCTATAATTGTTTCACTGTTTATGATAAAGAAGTTTGCCGATATACCACTGCCATGCCTAACTAAGATTGCAATCTGTTATTTCATATTCACAGTAATTTGCCTTGATTTTTACACCTAATTGAGATCCCAGTAACGATTCCTGATAGTATTTTCTATCTGTGTCTAGATCTGTAATAGTCGTCTCTACCTAAGTCAAAAGTGGTTAAACTATAAAAAAAAAATAAACCACACAAAAACACAGAGAGAGAGAGAGAGAGAGAGAGAGAGAGAGAGAGAGAGAGAGAGAGAGACTCATACACACAAGCACACACACACATACACACACCCACACACACACATACACACACACACACACACAAACACACACACACACACACACACACACACACACACACACACAAACCCCGCTCTCACACCCCCACACACACTGCTAATCGCTCCAATACCGCATGCAAGAGACCTGAGTTCTATCCCAATTGGGGAGGAAATTTCTTTTAAACCAGAATCTCAATCTTTCGGCTATGATGTTATATCCCTCTCAAATCAGGTTGGTCCCGACAGGCAAGGTCGGTAGCCCGCCTCCTAAATAATCTAATTTGGGACTACTATGGAGTAAAAAGCCTATATTATCATTATTATTAATAGTATCATTATTATTTTTTAAATTATTATTATTGTTATTATTATTAATATTAATATTCTTCTTCTTCTTCTTCTTCTTCTTCTTCTTCTTCTTCTTCTTCTTCTTCTTCTTCTTCTTCTTCTTCTTCTTCTTCTTCTTCTTCTTCTCATTCTTCTTCTTCTTCTACTTCTTCTTCTTCTTCTTCTTCTTCTTCTTTTCATTATTATTATTATTATTATTATTATTATTATTATTATTATTATTGTATTAATTGTATTATTATAATATTATATTATTATTATTATTATTAGTGTTATTATTATTATCATTAATTATTATCATTATTATTATTAATATTATTGTTATCGTAGGTAAGCATAACACTAGGAAATAGTTTTCTCTGTAATTTCAAGGGCCGTTACATTTTTCTAATTCTTTAATTTTACGTAATTTTTACTAGAACTATTTTCCAAGTTACTTTTTAGTGATCATATTTCACGCAACTCTAATCGTTGATGGAAAAAGTTATGTTTGAAGAAGAAGAAAACGAAGAAGAAGAAGAAGAAGAAAAAGAAGAAGACAAAGAAGAAGACGAAGACGAAGAAGAAGAAGAAGAAGAAGAAGAAGAAGAAGAAGAAGAAGAAGAAGAAGAAATAGAAGAGTAAGAAAAAGGAGACAAGAAAAAAAACAGCAATAAAAACAACAACAACAACAACAAAAAATAACAACAACCACAACAACATCTACTACTACTATAACAACAAAAACAACAAAAACAATAGCAACAATAAAAACTGCAGCAGCATCAGCAGCAACAAAAATAACAAACAAAACAGCAATAACTGAAAGAAAACATCAACAGCAAGAATTAGAAAAGGAAAACAGAAACGACTTTAAATTGTTGTCAGGACGTTCGATTCTACAGACGGTCATGGACTTATACCTTTGAGACATACTCGTTTCCCATCAAGCAGCTAAAACTGAAGAATGGGAGAAGGGGATCCCAATACGATTACCGCAAGCGTTAACAGAAACTAGGTCAGGGAAACCCCCATTCAACTGCGGTCGCGGCTTTATCGCCTTGCCTGGCGTCGTAAAAAAAAACCCCCACAGCACTTAAGGTTCAGACAAAACTGCCGTTGTCGTTGGGAATACCTTCCTAACTGTAGTTCCAAAATATAACTGCAAACGGTGATTACTATAAAAGGTTCTTAAAAGCTATGCCAATATCATTTATTGAATACCATAGCCTGCAAAGCACTGTTCTAGACATTGAACTGAATTTTGACTTTAGGAACAGAAATCCAGTATAAAATTTCATATATTTTGTGTCGTTGCTACAAGAGTTGGATAAACAATGTTTTCGGGTAAAGGAAAACCTATAATAGCAATTCTTAACCACAGACGCCTTGAGTCTAGATTTTCTTACCACTTTAACCAGTACTTGTTTAAATAAAAATACAAAAGATATATCTACTATAATTTTATCGATTGTCAAAGGACACATTAATTAATCGTGGTTAATTATTTTACGTGATAGAATTCTCCGTAACAAAAAAATCTTATCTAGAATCGAGCATTAAAATAGTTACTCACCGAACTGACGAAAAATGATCTTAAGAAATGTGTCAAAAATTTTCATTTTACTTTTTTTTAATGATGTCCGTGTTTTAAATGTTTACCACTTTAAAAAATTACAAAATGTGCAGATCGCCACAGTCAAATATTGTTATGTTTTTATGAAGAGAACTTTCGAAAAGAGAAAGAGAAAGAAATAACTTATTCAAGTGACTGTCACACTTAAATATGGTTACATTTCCGAACTTTTCAAGTTATTTCAGTTATTTCTCAAATAACAAATGAAGACTTGTATTTCTAACATGTTGAAATCATCGTGTCTTTCCAGTCTCCACAAAGTACGTCTCATTAGCCATCCTGGCTATCTTCAGCGTAGTTGGGACCGCTCTGGCAAGTCCAGTGTCACAACCAACGATCGACAACCCTTGTAGGATAACAAGCTCTGCTCCTCCCGAGTATCTGCCCTTGCAAGAAGAGATTGCTCTCACATTGAACGTGTTAGAGACTTTGAGATCAAGCTGTGAGGATGGTGTCACTACTATGGTAAGTGTTCTTTATAATCTTTTTATATTGATGTTTCACCTTTGTGTATGCCTAGCAAGATTACAGGGTAAAAAAAGACGTTTTGATTATTAAAAACCACATTGTGAGATATGCATGATTCAAGGAAGATAAAAATCTATGCATTTTACTTTTAGCAACAATATGTTGACAATCCTATCGTTTCTATTTTTTGCCCATACATGCATCGCAGCCGTATGATACACAGGGGACAAAAATTGTGCCCCGTTAAAACCTAGTAAAGCACCAACGATAACCAAAACGTACAAAATGACTGTTTTTTACAATTGGGTGGGTGTTTGAAGCCTTCAAAGAGGTCTGAAAAAAATGTTAATTTGTTTCTTTTTCTTTTCCCAGAATACTGAAAATCTGCTGACCAGTGATGAAATCGACATGCTAATGAATAACCCAATGTACAATCTTCCTGGCCTACCCTTGGCCACAGCTACAAGAAACGTCAGTGAAGAAAAAGTAAGCCCCTCTTTTAAAAATATTTTATCTTTGAACGTTTTGAAAGCATTAAATCTGATCTGAGTTTAATTAAACATTCCGTGTAACATTAGTCTTCTTAGAGAAATATGCATTTTTAAAAGTCAAAAGGCTGGCTGTTCCCAATTACAATACTCTGTCTTAACAATGTGTATGAAAATCGTGCTGTAGATTATTTTCTTTTGGTTTATTATGATTTCATTTTAGAAAATCATACTCTTGCATTTCACAAAAAGTACTTCAGAACTGCAGAGACTAATCTTACACACGTACCCCTAAATATGTACATTTTTGGCATTTACGAACTTCCTTCACCCCCCAACTCCCGTCTCTCTTTCTCTCTCTCTCTCTCTCTCTCTCTCTCTCTCTCTCTCTCTCTCTCTCTCTCTCTCTTCTCTCTCTCTATCTCTCTCTCTGTCCCCCTCTCTCTCTATCTGTCTCTCTATCTCTCTCCCTCTCTCTCTCTCAATCTCTCTCTCTCTTTTTCTCTATCTCTCTCTCTTTCTCTCTTTCACTTTCTCTCTCTCTCTCTCTTTCTCTCTCTCTCTCTCTCTCTCTCTCTCTCTCTCTCTCTCTCTCTCTCTCTCTTCTCTCTTTCTTTATCTCTCTGTCTCTTTGTCTTTCCCTAACTCTTACCACAACAATCTACTGTTTGTTGCAAAACTCATCCTTCAATATTCAATTTGATCTGTTTAAACAGCAAGAAAGATACAACAGTAATCGTTTCATGTTCTTCTCTGTGCAGGTTTTCCTTTACAATCTTGATCAAAGTGCTCTGAATGTTACTTTGACCATTAAACTTTTAAAGACATTTACAACAAGTTTATCAAACACATTTACTCAACTGGCCAAAAATCTGGCTATTGTTGATGAAAAGTTGCTTGAAGTAGGTTGTCGACTGGAGTCTGTCATCTCAGTGGCTGAAGAAGGGTTGACGCAGAGTCAGCGAGAAACAGCCAGAGAACTCTATCATGCTATCCTGGCTACATACGCCACATTTGAAAACAAGATAGACTTTAGCCCAATTTCAGACCAGAAAGAACTAACGAGATACATTTACCGTGGTCTCAGTTCTCTGGGGGGATTCACGGCACTTTGGAAAGATGCTCTAGAGCTTGGAACAAACATTGGGCAATAGGTAAAAAGAAAGTTACTATAAAGATTTTCACGTTCACCAACATTGCACAAAGGCATGACCAGATTGCACAATTTTACTGCATGTGCCAGTTGCTTGGTGGTGGACAGTTCCAATTAACCCGTCTAAGGCCATGGTATATAACTCATGTTTATTGTTACATGTACGGAATATGTTGACAATCCTAGTTTGGGCAGTAAGTAGTTGATTAGGCTTCCCCTGAAAAGTGTCTCTGTTTTCTAAAAGCTTTCCTCCTTGGGCATTGCAGAATATTCCCTTAAAAACAACATATAGAGGCCCTCATTTTTTATTTCAAATGTGCTTTTATACTCCCACTCCACACGAGGTAAGCTAGCACGGCGTTGGGACCCGCTTTTTTATTTGAAAATCACTGTGCTCCTTTTTACACTGCACTGAACGAGAAGGCATAAGACCACACGATTATCTTTAAAAACGATGCTCTTCTGTTATTTATTCTTCTAATGCATCACTTCATGCATGAGCAAACATTTTACAGAAAGCCAAAAACAAAGATTCTTTGAAATCTCTTTTTAAACTAGATGTGTATGACACAATGTATTTTTGAATGCCCACTTGTACATCCATATAAAGCATCACAAAAATTACTCATAAAAACTATTCCTAGTGCTTTAAAACTCCCCGCTGGACACTGAGTCTGGTAACATGGTGTTGGTGCCCTTTTCCCTTACCGTCTTTTTCACCTTCTTTCAATTTTGTTCCACACTCAAGTAAATTACACGAAAGAGCATAGAATGAAACTTTCATCTTATATCAAGATTTCTTGGAATTTCTACTGATCCATTTAATGCACCAGCTAATCAGGAAAGTTTGGAGAACTCTTTTGACAACTAAATTTGTACACTGTCAAGTAATGTGGGATGCACACCTATTCATGTATAGTGATTACAGTCATGTTACCTCTCATTCAAACTGTTCTATATTGTAAATATACGTACTTAAGAATATGCAATACTGGCCATTCTTGATGCTTATGAGATATTTTAGATGTTAAGAAATGACTATAATAAGAGAAAACGTAAAGTAACATACATAAATTTTACGTCGTGTAGATGTGAAGGAAAACATTTTCAGTCTCACTCCGAGAAGCACTATAAAGTACGAGACGAATAGAAAGAACAAAGCAGTGAATTGTATCACGTGCAGTGGTCTAGTTACAGGATTCTGCTGAGACAAACACTCGCTTAGAATGTAATTTTGTTCACGATATTCGTTTGTTCTATTCTCAGATGGCAAGCATATTGCTCGAGGACTACCACGATGTGTCGGTGTTTACAGTTTTCGCCCAACAAGTCTACGAGGAGGAAGACGGAAATGAAGTCCTGAAAGCTGACCTCCTGAAAGTCAAACATTATTTCTATTCCACTTTGTGCAAGCTGGACACAATCTTGGGTTCGATCAACAGTCATGTCTCAGATTTTGTTAGTTGTGATGTGATGCCAGACTCGTTGAAAAATATCACATCAGATAAGTACAGATACATGCGGGCATTCTTGTTGTTAAATAGTGCCATGAAACACATTGAAGTTCTTCATACAGATTATGAATAACTGCCACAAAATGTCTCCTCTGCTTAAAATGCTTTAGACATAGCGCGAAAGAAACATCAATGATCATTTTAAGATAAATACCTCTGGAGACCCACCGATGACCGAAATCTTTCTATCTATTTGTCGGTACTATCATAGATTGTAGTAGTATGTATGTCTCACTTTCCAAGATCTGAATTTTAATCTAAGTTTTAAAAAGTCTCCAAATATTTTTTATGTCTTTTTATTTGAGCAGTGTCTATATGTACATAGTTTATGTCCTTACAAAAGTGAATGTCTAATAAGTTTTAGAATTTTTACGGGTAAAGACAGGGGCTTTTAAAAGTGATAGACAGTCATGTAATATATTTATGTTTAATATTTCTTTGTCTGATCTAATGGTAATCACAAGAAATGTACGAGTATTGTATTGTTTTTAAATTATATATGAAGTGAAACCTGCCTTTTTCCGTTTGTTGTAACCTGGTTGCTGGAACACTAATCTTTAATGTACCTATCTTCTCTTTTTCATCATTTTAGTTTACTTCCTGGATTAAAACATAAATAGTAAAGCATAACATAACCCGTGAAGAGTGGAGTTAATTTTTAGTTAAGAGACAGATTTTAAAGATCCAAGCTAAAGGCATCCCCGACACCCTAATTCTCGTTACGTTTTAAATGTTATCAGTATACCAACCCTAAACACATGGACTAGAACATTATACAAATTCAGAAGACAAATCCTTTAGAAAATTCCCCCAACAGTGAAATTCCACAATTCAGGTACTCACATTTTCTTCTTGTACATTTGAATGACACATCGATTTGTAACATGTTATGAGCATATGAATATTTTATTGTATATTATGATACTTTACTGTACACAAATGTTGATTGCTTTGAGTATGTAATTTTGTTGTTTCTCTGCCTGTTAACTCTGATCTTGCTCAGATCTTTATTTTTAAAGGGTCGGTTGCGATCAAAAGTTATGAGTTCCCAACTCAATCTGTATACAAGTCAAGCTATATTAGCTGCTAATCAAAATGGTTATTTGTTTTGAAAAATTGTTCAGTGACTCTGTTCTGCCTTTTTCTGAACAATTTCGGACATTTTTAGCATTTTCATTTTTATTGTACATTTAATTTTTTGTTTTGTTTAAAAACATATGCCAATTGTGAATTTCTCAATTTATCTTAAATAAAAACGTGTACATATTGCAAATAATTCATGTTATAGTGCTTTGTTGAAATTAATTGCTAAATTGTATCTGTATGTTTTCCATGTCAATTGCAAATACCAATGAAATAGTCATGCCAAACCATTAAAGGCCAATAAAAGTAATTTAGATTTTCAACTGATGTCTTTTCAACAATTTATACATTAAAGTTTTTTTATGATACGAACTGTACACAAACGACGGTTGTATAGAGGTTAAATGATTCTCCCTCTGATGCAAGAGACCTGAGATCGATACTCCTGTTAAAAGAATCTTTTTTTTCCTTTTTTTTTCTGGGGGGGGGGGGGGACTCGGGAGTGGGCTCTGATGAGATATAATATAGATCTCAGCCAGGGTTGGACCTTTCTCGGGCAGGATCATTGCACGCCTTCTAAATTATCAGAAAGCAACAAGACAGGTGATTTTTCAAGGTGTCGCTGTACCATCTGCAAAAGTCATTCTGTGCCTCATATTTTGTTATCAAAATCGTCGGAGCAGTTCTTCTGAACTTAGACAGACTCTTGAAGTCGACGTTCCTAATTAAGATTTTGGGTCTCTCAGTGCCATAAAGATAGACGGTGGGCACTCGGGGGCTAGAGGTTACGGTTTTTGACTTTCATTCTAAAGGTCCCGGGTACGAAACCAGACAGTATAGGAAAATGTTCTCCAATATAATGTTCTGCTTTCAGTTCCTTTCCCGCTCTCAATTTTTTGCCCCACTCCACTTTGCCCCCTTCTCTTGGCACCGGACTCTTTCTGTAGCCTTCCTACTGTTACTTCTTGGCTCTTTCCAACTGCTGTCTTTCAGCCACAACCCTGATCTTCTGGCAGATGCGATCTAACACCTAGCTATTTAGGATAAGGGGGGGGGGATGTCGGAGGTCCCGTGCGCAACTTGAGCTCGTTAAAGATCCCTTGGTGATGGTCTTAAAATCTATTAGACTAGGCTACGGACGCCAACCCCAGCAAAATTCTAAATTCCTACCGACTTCAACAAATGTGTCCTGCCCGCTCATATGACCGTATGCAGTTGTGGGCGCCGTAAAACACTTACAAGGAAGAGAATAAAGAACGAAAGATCATCGTCATAGGAACACGCAACACACAATGCTGCTTATTTGCTATTTTTAAGACCAGTAGACTCCATCTAGTGGAAGAAAGAGACATACTGTGGTTGACACTTGTTTATACTGTTTGGAAGAAGTACCACGAAATCTCTACATAGTATGTGTGCGTTATGGAGAAAAGGGTGCAATTTTTTTTACCTTTTTGTAGTTTATTGCACTTCCGCATTGAAATGACCGCTCGTGGTGACTATTTTCATTAAAAGAAAAAATTGTAGACTGTTGTTTGTTTTTTATATTTATAACTTGGTCATGTATGTAGTGAATTTGTGAAGGGTGCATCAATAATATTTGTGAAAAAAAAACGTTAACGTCTCATGTGCATTTAACCACAAGACAAAGCATCAATTCTGGCACTAGTAGCCATGACACTACCAAGAAAAGTAAAATTCTCCCGGAATACGCATGTTTGTATCTGGAAGAACGACGTTTGTTGAGCTTTAAGCGGGTCGGTGGAGGAATTCAATATTAATTTTGTGCTGCTTATAAGCCGCAAATTTTCACAAGAATTAGAAGAAGAACCCACACATTCTTGCATGCTGGTCTCGTTATGTTACAACAGAGCACAGTCATCAGCAAACAGATGGTCTCTATAGATTGATGCAAGAGCCGTCGATACACAGGGACTTCATGTACACCGTCTGCTCCAGGTTCCAGACTGAGAGTTCAACGAGTCAGCACTTATGTCACGCGTGAACTGAACGACAAGTTATCTCGCAGTCTATGGATCTTACTTCATTCAGCACTGGTGTCAACAGTACGAAAAGCTACACATATCTATCTCTGTCCTTGAATGAGATAGATAGATAGATATATCGATTTTTGATTTGATCTGTGCAATTGTCTTTCTTTTATCTGGCAACACATCCTATATCCGCTGTGCCGCTCTCTCTCCACTAAAGGGTTGTATATTGTTTGGAGACTTTCATAAAATTTCCGAGTATTCCTTGTGTCGTCGTTTTTGGGAGTTCCACATGTTATTTTACGCATTTCGAGTTAAAACTTTCTTCTGCATGTCTCAAAAGCGCTTTATTTTGATTGAAATGAAGGTAATAAGTGTGTGCTTGGAAAACTCGACTCTCCTCTTGGATGTTATGTTTGATTTCAACAATATTTTCTTTGAACCAATCCTGATAGTAATAATCTTTACTACTTGTCCAGCACGCACAGCCGTCAGAAAAGACTGACCACCCAAAGCCTTGAAACACCTTTGTTGGTCTACTTTGAAACGTTTCTGTTTTTAAAAAATGGGCTCATTGTACTTAAACTGTATTCAACATATACAATTTGTCTTTGTTTTTTTCTTTAGTACATTTGGCATCCTATGTAATGGTATACTCCAGACTAAAGAACCTGTTTGATCTTTTGAAGAAGACCAGAAGTTAGGTGACAAGAAGACATCAAAGAACAGAGGTGTACAACCAGGACACGCAAAACAACAGACACAACAGAGGGGAGATCGTTATTAGTGGGCTGCTTCATGCAGTGGACGGACAACACATAAAAAAGACATTGCCATGAACTGTTTTCTTTAGCTTTAAGAATAACCTGTTGTGCTTTCTTTCCGTTCCAATAGTATCTAAAAGCACTATAATACTATTTTTTAGATTCAACAACTGTATCATTTGTCTTATTCACGTTAAGACCTGGACTTTTTACTATGTTTCTATAATTGTTTCACTGTTTAAGATAATAAATTTCATATTCGCAGTAATCTGCCTTGATTTTAACACCTAATTGAGATCCCAGTAACGATTCCTGATAGTATTTTCTATCTGGGTCTAGATCTTTAATAGTTAGTCGTGTCTACCTAAGTCAAAAGCGGTTAAACTATTTAAAAAATCCTCACATACACACACACACACAGACACACACACACACACACACACACACACACACACACACACTCCCACACAAACACACATTCACACACAGACACAGAGAGAGAGAGAGAGACTCATACACAAACACACACACACACACACACACACACACACACACACACACACACACACACACACACATACACACACACACAAACCCCGCTCTCACACCCCCCTACACACTGCTAATCGCTCCAATACCGTATGCAAGAGACCTGAGTTCTATCCCAAATGGGGAGGAAATTTCTTTTAAGCCAGAATCTCAATCTTTCGGCTATGATGTTGTATCCCTCTCAAATCAGGTTGGTCCTGACAGGCAGGGTCGGTAGCCCGCCTCCTACATGATCTAACTCGGGACTACTATGGAGTAAAAAGCCTATATTATCATTATCATTAATATTATCATTATTATTTTTTAAATTATTATTATTACTGTTATTATTGTTATTATAATTAATAGTATTTGATTCCTATCCACCAACATGGATCCACTCATACACTGATGGATCTGCCTTTAAGGCAACAATCAACGCTGGATATGGGTCAGTTATCAACTTGCCCAGTGGGGAAAAAAAGAAGTCTTCAACTCCAGCAGGTCCTTCTGCTCCAATTTCATTGAAGAACAACAGGCTATCACCAACACAGCAAACTACATCAACTACTTGTTTGACACTAACCCACTTGCTACCACAGACATCGTTATATTCTCAGACAGCCTTTCAACACTAGAGACACTTGAGAGTGGGACTGATGTGAACAAAGATACACTGCATTTGATTTGGAGTCTACATAACTTGATAAGTGGGCGTCAGAGTAGTCCTACAATGGATTCCTGCCCACACTGGGATACCGGGAAATGAAAGACTGATGCTCTTGCAAAGAAAGGAGCTAGTCTCCCTCAGCCTGAAATTTCTACGAATTACACCACCTGCTGCCAAATGATCAAGTCAAACCTCAAGGAAGAGTGGATGAATGATTGGGCCACAGGTACGACAGGAAGGAGGATGTATGGCCACATGAATAAACCACTGGTCAAAGATCCAATCAATGAGTTGAGGAGGGGAGATCAATCCATAATCTTCCAACTTAGAACACAACATGTACCCCTCAACCAACATCTCAACCGAATTGGAGTAAAGCAGTCTCCTGCCTGCCCACTATGTGACTACCCCTCAGAGACAGTGGAACATCATCTGTTTTTCTATAGAAAACTAACTGATTTAAGGGGATGTTTTCTTCCCAAGCTACCCCACACATCTAATTGCCTCTACTCCTCAAGACAACAGTTAGAACAAACATGCAACTATAACCGAATGGCATCATGCAGAAGAG